GTTTACCTAATGCAACACACTATATAAACCAAGGTGTTCTCCCCAAAATCGGGGACACTAAGAAACAAGAGGGCTAGAGCCGATTTTGCAAGTGTAAGATTCTCTCAAAGTTTACTGTTTTGCATTTGGTGTTGTGTGAAGCATTTGAGGCATCACACTTGGGGTGCTAGGCTCACAAGGTTTCAAGGATCATAATCAACAACAAGGTAAGTTATTCTATCTTTCATTCAAGTTAAAAATGTTCCCCATGTATGCTAGATAGGAATATAACCTTGGAATTCAACTTTGCATGATAATTAGACAAACATAGATCCAAGGTTATTAGGGTTGCATGTACACTTAGGAAGTGTTAGAATGCTTTGCTCAAAACCCACAACCTCTGAGCGTTCAGTAGATTTAGTTTTCCACCTGTGTTATATAACATCTGAGGGTGATACATTTATCAGTGACATCACGCTGATAAATTTGATGAACCTAACAACTAAAGGAAGCCATGGTTGGCCCGAGTCTTGCTAAATGGAAGACACGATGAACACAGCGGATTCAGTCCATGTATAACAATCAAGTTTGGAACTTAGTTGACAATGTAACCGGGTCGAATCAGCCGGGGTGCAAATAGATCTTCAAGAAGAAGACCGACATGGATGGAAAATACAGCACATACAAGGCGCGACTGGTTTACAAGGGCTTTACTTCAAACTCCGGGAGTTGACTAATGATGAGACCTTCTAAACAATAGCAAAGATGAAGTCTATTAGGGTTATGCAAGCCATGGCTGAATTTCATGAATATGAATATGGCAAATGGAATGTCAAAACCGCTTCCTTAATGGAAAGTTGGCTGAGGATGTTTACATGAGTCAGCCAGAGGGTTTTGTCAGCGCAAAGTACCCTAATAGAGTGTGTAAGCTGAGAAATCCATCTATGGATTTAAACAAGCACCTCGCAGATGGAATCTTTTGTTCGATGCGAAGTCAAAGAGTTTGGCTTTTCGAGGAGCGAATATAAGCCCGTGTATATGTCAATGCTAGTGGGAGTATAGTTAGCTTTTTGGTTTGTATGTGGATACATACTACTCATAGGAAATGAACATCCAATCTCTGCAGGGGGTGGAAGTCCTGCTTGGGAATGTTTTTCACTATTAAGGATCCTGGAGAAGCCTGCCTATACCTAGGGATAAGATTTTGAGAGACAGGGTAAGAGACTAATGGACTTAGTCAGAGTACCTACTTAGATAAGGTGCTAAATAGGTTCAGCATGCAGGATTCCAAGAAATGAGAGTTACCGATCCAGAGTAACGCTGGTTTGAGTAAGACTCAGAGCCCGAGTACAGAGGTTTAGATAGCTGGATGAGTCGAGTCCATATGCTTCCTCTGTAGGCTCGTCATGTATGCTACGACTTGTACTCGTCCTAATGTGGCCTTTTGGCTTGAGCATGGTCAGCAGAATCAGGGAACCCTGGCAAGGCTCACTGGACTGCGGTAAAGAACATTCTCAAGTATCTGCGGAGGACTAAGGACTGGGTCCTTACCCTCGGTGGGAGTGATGACTTGAGAGTAGCGGGGTATAGTGATGATAAATAAAAGTTGTTGGTTCCTCAGTACTTGTCGGACAAGGAGATAAAAAGGGCGAGATACCATGAGATGTTGAGGAGCGATATCAGGCAGTTTGTGAGCTGATCTAGTTGCAAGACACTATATGATATTATAACGCGAGCCAGGGAGCGGAAGATTGACTTGGAGATGGAGAAAAAATGAAGACGGATCAGGTTCAGAGTTTAAAGGTTTCGAGCAAGAGGCCCAAGGTTTTTGATTCGATACCGAGAGGCCAGTAGGACCGGGGTGGCAGTGGTAAGTGCGGCAAGACACACGATGGAGCTTGCATGGTGGTGGTTCAGGATGCTATAAGTATGGTAAGTATGGTCACTTTAGTAGGGATTTCACAGCCATTACTCAGGGATCGAGTTTTATTTGCTTCCATTGCAATCAGAGGGGCCATAACATGACTGATTGTCCGAGTCTAGCAGCGACATGACCAGTTGCAACACCTACTCGAATAACTTTGAGGATCACGAATGGCCGCTAGGGAAAGGCGGATGTGCCTATTGTGAAGAGCACAAATTTTCAACTGACAGTTGAGGAGGCTCATGCAGCACCTGATGTGGTGACGGGTATGTATCTTCTCCTTATCCCTTTATTTATATTGGATTTCCTCCTTATATCTGTGTGTTTTGTTTTAGGATCGTTCCTTGTGAACGGTATCTCTGCTTTAGTGTTGTTTGATTTGGGGGCTACCCGATCCTTTGTATCACTTGCACTCAGCAGGAGATACAAAAGGCGTTCCTGACGTCTTCCAACCAATGTCTGCTCGCAATCAGGTCCTTCTTCCCGAAGAACTATGGAGCCCCACATGCCCGAAACTCTCAGAAAGTCAAAGAGCTGGCTCCCACCATACTCACCATCTCGGAACAAAAAGCGCCCAAGCGCTCATCCAGAATCTCCAGAATACCCTCCTTGACCATGCCAAAGATCATAGGAGTCTTCTTAAGAATACTACGAGTAATCTATGCTAAAACTCTGATCATCCATAAACCCGACTCTAGGGCCCGAACCCGAACCATCACCGGCACCAGAGACGCGACCAGAACCAGAAACAGACCAGAAACCGACTCCTTAAGTGACCACCATACTAAAAATAAGCCATATAATCCATCTAAATATACCCGAAGAATCCCACATTCTACAAGCTTCTTGGTATCATCGTGACTTTCCTTGACTCGAGTACGAATCCTTTGCTTCTAGTAGTATCAGCCCATACTACCTTCCACATCTATCCGTACTTTCCTCAAGGATCACCTCGAGTCCTCCAAGTCACTCCCTTATCAAACCAACAAACCTCAATAAGAGAAGGTTCTCGGAACCGAACCACCTCCTAGATTTTCCTAGGGAAACCACTACACCACTCTCCGCCATCAGCTGTAGAAGGAACTCCCCTAACACCTTCGAACTAGCTCACAAATACAATCACATATCACTGACACGTGATAATTATTCAAATGAAAGGTCTCACACTACAACGGTTGGACTCAAACAATTGCTAAGAAATAGAGTTAAAACCTAACATTCTAAAAGTATCCAGTCTCAATAATATGTAAATTAGCATATTCTCTTACTAGTCAGATGATGTTAATCGGAACTCCTAAAAGCACAAAGCAAGCAGCATTCGAGCATCAAGAAATCGGAATCAAAGCATAACCTAAAAATGACATCCTATCACTGACTGATCGGTACTAGAATGCAAGTCTACAAGCTCATACAGTAGGCATACAAAGGCATATCTCCTAGAATTCTATCATGAAAACCTGAGAAGATCCTTAGCCCTAATCTAGCATGCGATTCATAGATTCACAAAACAAAGCATAACACAAAACATGTGTGGGTATTTTAGGAAAACTTACTTGAGCTCGGCCGATTGTACGCACCACACCCTTTTATTTTATTAGAAAAACTCTTTTTATAAAATATTTCTTTTTATGAAAAATATGCCAAACCCTCAGTTTGAGTTCAGATATACCTGAGAGTATGTCTCTATCCATCAAACCAAGGCTCTAATACCAACTTGTAATATCCTAAATATTTAAAACCAAAAATTTCGTTTTCATAATCATAAAATAATCAACAAAAATGTGTTCATAAAACCATAAAGGAAAATCAGAGTATGTAAAAATCTTCTCAATACATTAGAGTTAAATAAAACAGAAATCATGGAGTGTGTGATGCGATCATCCCAAAATCTTCCCCTTCGATCCGGAAGTACCTGAAACATAAACTGAAAACCATAAGCACGAAGCTTAGTGAGTTCACCAAAATACCGCATACCATACATATCTTCCAACTCAAGGTTGTTTCGAGTCTATTTCACTTCCGAGTCTACTTCAACTCATGTGTCGGCCCAAGGCCGTACCGGGACTATTTCACCCCCGAGTCTATTTCAACTCATGTGTCAACACCAGGCTGTACCAGGTCTATTTCACCCCCGGTCTATTTCACCCCACATACATATAGATTACAGGCACACATGCATATAACACATACGACAAGAGTCAAAAATATAACAAGCACATAACATATCCTAGTATCCTACAGTATAATGAGCAAACTCATCTCAGGCCCCGTTTGATAGTTGCTGACTGAGAAAGTGCTGACTGGGAAAGGTCTGTCTGGGTAAAAAATCCTGACTGAGTAAGAAATCATGTTGTTTGATTATACATCTGACTAAATGTGCTGACTGATGAAAAATGACCATTTTGCCCTGCTGTTGTATATAGTGATAGATGACGTTACTGAATAATTATAAAAACATACAGATTGTCATACAAATTGTAAATTACACACTAGTCATTTAAAAATCCAAATAAAAATTTTCATACAAAATGTAAATTAATATTTAAAGTAATTTATCATAAGTTTTATCAAGATCAAGAACAATTTTAAATATAAATCAATTTTCTACCAATATTCAAGTAAAACATCAATATTCAAGTAATTCAAATCGTGACAAAGGTATAAATCAACATCCTAAAACATAAATATTTAAACTAGTTTCTCATAACTTTTATCAAGATGGAGATAAACACCGAAATTGCTTCCAATTCACAAAAAAATAACAAGCTAACAATTAAGGTCAATTGTATCAACATATACCTAAACAATTTCATAACATTTGGATTTTGATTTCATAATAAAACAAACGAATTCTCTTTCCCCTTGAAGAACATTGATTTCAACACTCGTTTGACAATGGTGTCACATCTAATAACACAATATTGCTCACATCTCCAAAAAAAACACCAGCCTAAAATTACAAAAGGCAACATCATCATAACTTTTTCCTAAATTGTTCTTGAAAATTGGAGTAAAGATAGGAAGCTATGATACAGACCTGAAGCTCCAAGAGTAGCAACTTCATCTGGATTGACTGTGACATTTGGTTCTTTAGATGTCATCCACCAACAAGAACCACTTCATCAAGATCTTTCAGAGAGAGGTTTGCATCTTTTAATGTTGTTTCAACAGGCGTCTTTAGCCTATGCCAAACAAAGAACAAACAAATTGGTTTTCGAAAGTTATCATCTTGATTCTTGAAGAGTGACAATTACTTGAATCATCAAGAAAACAAATTAACTAAGTACCTATCTAGTAAATCTGAGCACAACTCCTCAAACTTTGCCCTTGTTAGTGTAGTATCAATATGTTTTGGGCAATCTGATGTTGTTGTAATAAAAGGTAAACTGCAAAAAATAGAACCCATGATCGGAAAACTTACAATGGAAGAAACCAAAGTAAAAAAAAAATACTGAAAATGCATGATATTAGTTTGGGTCAAAGTGGATAACTCCATCTTTGCTTTCTCAGCAGTTTCTGTGAGACGTTAAAGCGCTTGTTTATCTTTAAGAAGATTTATACCTTCATCCCTCTTGAAAGTTTCAGCAAGCCAATCAACAATTCTCTGTTTAAAATTCAAGAAAAATGTTAGGGATGTGGTTATCAAGAATGTATTTGTAACACGCGACATGATCCCAATTCCTAACCTTGTTAAAGTCATCTCCTCCCAAATGGGTGTCTCCTGAGGTTGAAAGTACCTCAAAAACACCATCATCAACCTCAAGCACTGCATAAAGAATATGAGGCGAGATGGCGAGCAAGATGGTGGCGTCCGGCGATGAGGCACTATCAGGAGAGATGGCGGCGACTGGCGATGAGGCAATAGCCGGCTGTCGATGTGGAGCTGTCGGCAATATCCAGCTGTGTTTTTTTGGGTATGCGGCTTGTGTTTTTAGGTCGCGGTGGAAGAGAACTAACGGGGGAAGAAGAATACAGAGGGAAGGGTAGAAGTGTCTTATTTCCAGTCAGCAATGGGTATGAATCTGACCGGCTAAGAAATTTGGGCCAGCCTATCTTACCGAGAAAGCACCAAATCAAACAACCGTTGTCTGACCGAGTCAGCTCAATTCGCTGACTCAACCCAGTCAGACATGTTTCAAACACACCCTCAGTCTGTTGTCAGTCAAACAAATGATCGACTGCTGAATCGAAAAATCCCCGCGCTAATTAATCAAACAAAACCCCAATTAATAATTGGGCCATAAACCATAAAAGGGAATCGAGTTTATTTTTCCAACACCCATGATAAAAGACCATTTTACCCTTTCCTCACTTGGCCCAATAATCGAGGCCCAACCAATGGCACCAAATACCCAATATGGCCCAAATTCCAAAATGATGCCTAAAGCTCATTATGGGCCCAAATCCAAGAAGGACCAAAGCCTAACAATGGCCCAAAGTCAGAAAGACTAGTGGCCCAACAAGGCCCAAAACCCTAATAGTCCAAATATAGCCTAAACCATAAAAGCCAACGAAGGTCAACAACTGCAGAGTACGCCCAGCGTACTCAGACTTACGCCCGACGTACGCCATCTTTGGCCAGTACGCGCTGTACGACCTATGTACACCCAACGTACTCCACAGTAGCCCAATCTCACATTAAGTGCTTATTGGTTAAGCACTAAGTCCACTTCTCAGATCTGATCCTAATGATGTCTTAACACGTAAAGTTGGAAACTTAATGGGACCTAATATTTGTTTTTGACCATTAAAAACCCCATAATACGATCCCTAACTCATGCATGGTCCAATATACACATCAAGATTACACTTTATGCACAAGGAACCTCAAAAATGCTAAGATCTACCATCCCTAGCTTCTAGAGTAGCTCATACTCTCAAGCATGACTTAAGGGACCATAAAATGCACAAAAATAGGCCCCTAACTAGATCTATCATAATGAACCATCAAGTTAGAGAGCTTTATACCTCTAATAGTTTTCCAAGTTAGTGATGATTTTGGATCCACAAGCTCCAACCAGACCAATGCAACTTCCAAGAGCTCGTTTTCCTTCAAGGTAACCAAAAACACTCTCAAATATAACTGCCAATCTCAAAACACCCAAAAGGCAGTTAGGGTTTCGTTCCCATGGTTTGGAGAGGTGGAGGATGGTTATAAGAAGGTCTGAGAGCAACTTAAGGTGTTTAAATAGGGCTCAAACCTTAAAAATTAGGGTTTGTCCCAGGTGACCATACGCCCAATGTACTCCATGTATGCCCCGCGTATGTGGATGCCTTCGCGATTAACATTTCGACCCAGCACGCTCAGCGTACTCTTAGCGTATGCCCAACGTACTCAGCCAGGGACCAAAAGCAAGAATTTTTAAGTTAAGGGCAAAAGGGATAAATACCTGAAATGCAAATGTTACGGATTAATATAACCGTTGGTTACAAAATTCTTCTAAGTTTCGTATTCAACCTTATACGAAAAAACGTGTACGAAAAAACGTGTCATAAAACGTGAATCAGAGATATGTTGCTTATTAGCCTAAGTAACCTAAACGAAAGTCATAGAAATCGTAAACGCGAAATCATGGATATAAAGAACATCCAAATCTGACTTTGTATGAGGAATTTATGATTTTTCGAAGTTGTTATGGGACACAGTACAACAACGTGCGATACAGAAATCGAAAATTAGATCGATTGATTGTTACCCAAAACAATGTAAATGAGAGTTGAAGATCTTGTAAATACGAATCCATCGATATAGAGACACTTGAGAACAAAGTTTGCATAAAGGAGTTATGATTTTCACACAGACTTTAACAATTTATTCTCTATAAAAATATGAATTTAAAATGGATTAAAAATTAGTTGTTGAGAACTTAAGGTAAGTTGTAGTTCTCATCGAGATGATTTAAGACATATAAAAAAACATCGAAAACGGAGACGGAATGCGAAAGTTATGGTCGTTCGAAGAATTCAGGAAAATACATGATGTGATGACGTTGCAGTACCGAAGTGTGCCACGTGGTCGAGTGAGAGTCGGATCTTCTAGCCTACACGATGACGTGGCACAACGAGATTGAGACATGTGGTGACACAATAAGATGAAACGTGGCAACATTCTAGAAGGAGGGATGTGGACCAACAGTAATACGAAACGTGGCAGCAAAGCAATGGAGCAGCATTAGCCGTCACGCCTCCCGTTCTGCCTATAAATAGAACTCGCTTTCAACCCATTTCACTCACAATTTAATCTCTGTCTCTCTCTCTCTCTCTAACGTTTTACACACTTTGAGTATGGCTTTCCCCGAGCTTCTGAGCGTTTTAGCGAGGCTCTGAGGTATCTAGGAGTCTAATGAAAAGGAGCTTTCGGGTCGAAGTTCTGCCAGCGACCTTTCGGCTTTTCGCTGTAAATTTCTCTAAGTTAAGCTTCACTTAATACACTTTAACTGTAACTTATATTTATATTCATAGTCGTTATTATGAAGGTATAAATAAGATTTATCAGTGATTCCAGTCATAATACTGATTGATCTACTTACGGTAATGATGTATAGGCTAGATTTCGCGAGTTGTTTAAAGTCAGATTTCCAAAATGGAACCCACATCCAATATGATCTAAACTGGTTGTTCCTTATTTGATAGATCTCGATGTATTCATTGAGATTGTTGAGGAATCCAGGAAATAGTATAAATACAAACGAATATTGAAGCGTTGTAATATTCGTACTTAGGTTGTTTAAGAAGGATAAGCTAATCTAGCTTCCCGAGGATCTTCCACCTCAATCAGGTGAGTTTTCTCACTATACTATATACTACAATATGTATTCTCCATATGTTAGGATGTAGTTGAACTGTAGTATGCTATTAGGTAATTAGACTGGTTTAGTTAGTTGTATGTTGTGTTAGACTGTTTATCTGTTCGTCTACTATACATGTGTTGATATATTATGTGGGGAGTTTAGTGCGGATCAGCTTCGTGCTAAAGGCCAATATACTCGGGAGGACCATCTTTATGCTAAAGGCCAAGGGGCGGACCAACTTTGTGTTAAAGGCCAAAGAGGCAGACCAACTTTATACCGAAGGCCAAGGGGTGGACCAGCTTTATGCCAAACGTCATTATGTGTACGCATTGTATATGTATTGTGGCATTTGGTATTTTAGGAAGCTCACTATTCTTCGTGTTTACCCAGTTGATTATAAATGTTTTCAGGTACTTTTTCTGATCGTGAGAATGGCAAGGCTTGATTGTACACATGTGCATTGACATGATGTTTTCTGCATTATGTAATTATACTCTGATTTAAATGAAATAAAAATGAAAATTTTGTTATGAAAATTGGGACATTACAGAGGTGGTGGATTCATATATAAATATACTTCAATTTATATTCACATATAAATATTATATTTACCTCGTCGCATCGGTACGACGAAACATTTTGCGGCAAGACATAAATGTGTAGCTGAGAATGATTTCATATTCTTAACTTTTTTTCTCAATTAAGCTTATATATATATATATATATATATTATATATATATATATATATATATATATAGGAGTAGGATCAATTGAGAACACCAAAAAGGTTGAGAACGCGAGAACAGATCTGAGCCATTTAAATCTTAAAATCAAAGGTTCATATTAATGTGTCATTTATGAAAATTACAAGATTTGTGGAACCAAATTGTAATTATTAAATTTACATTTAAGGGCCTTAAGGGTAGTAATGGAATTTCCATTTTATGGTTCCATAAAATCAACTTAATTATTTTGGTCATGGCGTCATTCTTTCTCTCTCTCTCCCTCTCTAACTAAATTAGGGTTTTAACCAATTGAAGGTGAAAATACGCCTCCATCCAATGTCGCCTACATTCGTGAGAACCATACCTTTCAACATTCCAGGGTTGTCGGCTGTTAGACCTCCTCTGTCGAAAGAAGATGAATGGAATTGACGAGGAAGGAGAGCTAGGTCTCGCCTCCAGCAAGGCGACAGTCCGACTAATTTCAATCATGCTCGGTGTGTAGTATGTTTTCCAGTGGCCACAATGGCTCCGGTAATCGGCGACGAAACCGACACAGAAACCTCAAGTCTCCGGCGATCTGCGATTTTTCAAGTTTTCTGGTGATTTTTCGATCTCAGGAGGTGTGTCTAGAGAAGAGGGTAAGCCTTTTCGATCGAGTTTTCTTATTACTGCCACTTTCTTCATACTTTGTAATACACGAATTATCTACCATCCTGTATGCTTTAATCATTCAATCTCATTCTATTTTTCTCAATTTTGATGGTGGTGGATGGGTTATCGTCAATTGTGTTCGTTATAATCACTTATGATTGCAAATATCGTCAGTTGTGTTTGTTGCAATGGGCTTCTTCCAAACTTCATGACAGTGAATTGTTGGATGAAATGGTTAAAGAAGGCATTAGGAAGACAATTCCCCCAAAGGTTCTTTCGCAATTTGTTGATATTGTGTCGCTTTGTACTCAGGTATTGGCTTATGCATATATGATTATCAAGATGAACTAAAAGGAATTGATTAGTTTGTAAACGACAGTTGATGATTGTTATAAAGTTATATAGTTGATGATTGTTATAAAGTTATAATCATTTATGATTGTAAACATGGTTGTACATATCATTAGAAGACACCGATAGTAATCATTTATAATTTTAACTATCGCAATATAAATGATTATAAAATTGATTATAATCATATCATTTATGATTATAACACCACATGATTTTGCTACTAATCATTCATTTTAATATTTTATTGATCTTATTATTGTATTTACATGTTATTGGCATTTTGTAGGTATTTATCAAAAAAAAAAGGAACGCTATCACTTTTTAGGTATCACTGGTGCTCATTACACTAGTAGCCATTTTTGTCCAAATAGAAGGAGGTTGCAACCGATTCAAGAAAATGGCCGACATATTATTGAATTTTTTAATATTTTTTTTCTTTTGGAGTGGTTAATCATTGTTGAATATAATCATGTATAAATGTATGAAACTAGTATTGACATATTCATTTATGAATATATTCTTTTGGAGTGGGTTAATCATTGTTGAATATAATCATGTATAAATGTATGAAACTGATATTGGCATATTCATTTATGAGTATAAGTATAAATGTATAAACTCAATATTTAGAAATTTTATTTAGGAAAATAAAAAAGTTTAATAATAAATATAACTTATTTTTTTACTTTTTTTATAAATAAAAAATTTTATCATTAAATTGTGTTTTATTCATTTACGATTACAACTTTATAGTTTTATAATTACAAACGTGTTTTACTCATTTATAATTAAATTTAAAAAAAAACTTTTTTTAACACAAAAATTAATAAAAATTATTTTGTCATATATTAATAAAAAAATAAAATAAAATTCGGTTAATCTATTATTTTAAGTAACTGTAATTAATATTGCTAATATTTAGGAGATTAAGATTTGTTATAATTTAAATTAAATATGCAAATACTAATATACCCTTATAAAATGATTGGTCCAGAATTGTTCTCGCGTTACCTTTTAGGTGTTCTCATTTGATCATTTCCCATATATATATATATATATATATATATATATATATATATATATATATATATATATATATATATATATATATATATATAAGGTATAGAACCATCAAAATTGTCTTCAGTTTGATTAAAAAAACACAATTTTTTTCACTGTTAACTTCTTCCTATTGTTTTTGAACTCATATTATTTTTCATTTCGTTATTCATCCTCAACATCTATGTATTTTGAGTGTGTTTTTTTTATTAGACATATAGTTGACTTCCTAACTTCCTCTAACACCTATCTCATGTATACTTGCATGGTTTTTTTGATGGGTTATGGAAAGAGGTTTATTGAGTTTTTTTAATGAACACTTTCAATTTTTCATTATAGTTTTATATATTAAATTTCAGTATGAAAATCATCCTAAGTCGGTCAAAGTGGTGGATACCGCACACTGCGGTAGGTGACGTGTCACCATGGTGGTGTGGTGAACACCACATCGTCCGATTATGGGTCTGCGGTAAAGCCACTGCAAGAGAAAATTATACTGTACCTTTTTTTTTCCTTTTTAATTATTATTAAATTATATATATATATATATATATATATATATATATATATATATATATATATATTAAAAAATTATAAAAATATAAAAATATTTTAAAATTCATGGTTTCTTACTGCCTATAAATAAAGTATAACATTCATATATTATTTATATATATTTAAATATTTAGAAAATGTGGAGCAACTTTAAAAAGAGGATGAGAAAAAATGTTATGATGCATGGCATGTCAAAAATATAGTAAACTATGATAACACCCAAGGTTATACACTTATGCCTATTTGTAGGCATGTAAGTTAATTTGGTATGTACGCACCCATGGGCAGTAGAGTGTGTCAAATTTTGTTACAAATTACAATGCAAGGAATTTGGTAAATATGGTAGTTCAACTGCCGAACTAAATCCACCTCTCTTTCTTCTAGATGTTTTATATATTATCTTAACTCTTGTATTCTGTTTTCGTAATTTAACTATAAAAGTTAAAAAATATAAACCTATTAAAATTTAAGAAATAATCTCAAAATACAAAATGTAATTATTTGGTTTACTAATACTACCTAATCCTTGAATATGGTAGCATTAAGCCTGATAAAAATATATGTGATAAATATATGTGATTAAACCGATCAACCCGTTTTCAATTCGTGTAGTTTGGATCAAGTAATATGGGTTTGGAATTTTGGGTAATCAGTTAACCCGTTATTTTATTTGGTAGAGTATGGGTAGGGTAAAATCAGGTATATTCAAATACATGAATTTTTTTCTTAAACTAATTACTACACTAGCTGTAATAACTATTGAAATTGTATTGATCTATTAGTTTACCCGAACCTCAATACATAGCCGAATTTCAAGATAGGTCGATTATCTGTTATGTATTTATTAAAAAAAAAAAAAAAAAAAAAAAAAAAAAAAAACTCAAATACATAATACTCAAAAGTTATACCCAATCAACACCCCTGCATTGCACCATGTGTTAAGGTAATACACTACAAGAAAAATCGTAAATAGCTACGGAAAATTGCTACGGAATCAAAATCTGTAGTTGTTCTACTACGGAATATGCTACGGAATGGCTTGTCGTAGCTATTTTGCTACAAAATTAATTCCATAGCTAAATCCTAAATAGCTATGGAAAGTTGCTACAAAATCAAAATTCGTAGCCGTTTTACTACAAAATATGTTACGTAATGGATGTTCGTAGCTATTTTGCTACGGAAATAGCTACGTAATTGTAGTTTCATAGCTAAATCCATAAAGTTGCTATGGAATCAAAATCTATAGCTATTTTAATACGAAATATGCTACAAAATTGTTGGTCGTGACGAGTTCGCTATGAAACTTGTTACATAATCCATATTCGTAGCAAGTTGACTACATAAATTGCTACAAAATCAAAATCCGTAGCTAGCTGGCTACGGAATTGAAATCCGTAACTATTTTGCTACAAATATTTGTTACACAATAAAATTTCGTAGCTAATTTGATACGAAATTTGTTACGAAAAAACTTGAGCGTAGCTATTTGTCTATATAACTTGTTTTCAAATTTGGAAAATAGCTACGAATTCATCTATGTAGCTATTTGGCTACGAAATATTCCGTAGTCAACTAGCTACGGAATATGTTTCCGTAGCAAAATATAGAAAATTGTTTTACTAACAAAATTAAATTATTGTTTTTAATTGTGTTATTATTTTATACATAAATTAATTTTCATTGGTAATAATCCTTAATTATTATTTAAAAAATAATCTTGTTTTAAAAAAGAATAAAACAAAAATCAAACTTAATAAATTTTTTCTTTTTATTAATTTAGGAATCGGAGCATTTTCTATATCAATTAAACTCTAGTTTTTTTGTTATCGACAAAACAACTTTCCCGATTAAGCAAGAATTTTCACTGTTTCTTATCGTAATAAGTTTGTATAATTTTATTAATCTGTGACGCCACTATTGTAATTTAGACGAAGAAGGGTGAGGGTATATGGGTAATTACACAAAAACTCTTTTGGAATTGGAACCACAGTTTTGTACCGGATTTTGATTAATGGATAATATTACAATTAATAGTCCCTTGATTAAGATGTCTAACCCTAATGAGAGACGGAAAATTGGGGCTGATGTACTGATATCGACAGAGACGGTGCGACGGGGGACAAAGTCGGTTACCTTCTCCAGTGATTCTGGTAGAGTCAATGAGGAAACCAATGAATAGAGAGATTAACTATGAGAGATAATGGAGAAGCTGTCATTCGAACTCTAAATTCATTTTCTTATGAGCAATGGTGAAGAAGATGACACATGCCTCATTTATATATCTTGTGTGAAGGAGCGACATATCTATGGTGACAATTTATAGAAGGATCGATGAAACGAACAAAGAGTGTGAGAAACAGAGAAGGCGTTTAACAGTCGAGGTGAAGCTATTGAGGAACGAAATCATATATGAGAACAAGGTGAGTTGGAGGTACATATTCATTTTTCGGCAAGCTTTAACCTCGATTCTACGATGATATGTATTTTTATGTTTCCTCGATGTGTTTATCGTAACTAAAACAAAAGAAATCGACTGAAATGCTATGGAGTTAGAGTATGATCAGGATGTTGAGGTGTTCCTATATATGATCCATGGTTTTTGACGATCGTGGCCACCATTGCGCCTTCACCATCGTCTCCAGTCACCATCATCGCCTTCCTCCCCTCCTCCACCTTCTCCGCCACCTACTGTCACCGTCTTTAAAAGGTTTCTTCATCTCTAACCTTCTCTATCTCTTTCTGCTACCAAAACGCCTAACTGTCGTGAATCACGAAAGTTGAATAAGGTTCTATCTACATTCTCATCGCTTACATGCTGATTAGAATGTAAGCGGAAGATAAATTTTAATTACTATTTTTAGGTTGTTTTT